AAAGAAGAGATCGCAGTTGATTGCTTTCATGTGATTATATTTCTTGTCATTATGCTTGTACAGCGCATAGAGAAACTTATGTTTATCATTGGCTTTATAAATATTGTATTATTATTATTATTATCTCCATCACAACAAATTTGTTGATTTATTACCTCCTCGAATGAAATATTAAACACATGAGAGGTAGAAAATAATTCAGATTGCATCCTGGAAAGTAAATTCTGAAAACGGCAACCTGCACTACAAATGTAAAACCTATGAGCACTGTGTGCATACGCTACAGTCTAAACATGCCACCGTCTAAACACACTCTGTCTCCACGTGAAGCACCAAGATTGATGTGCCTGGAGCAATCTGGGTAGAAGGGTCCTAGTGTAGGTGAGTTGACTTTGTACATACACAAACTTTGCTTGTACAGGGGGGGGGGGGGGGGGGGGTGTTTCACAAAGACTAAGATTGACTTTAAGTTGGACTTAACTATGGCAGGCCATTCATGCCACTACTTGCTCTCACCATTATGATCGTTTATAGATAATATTTTTTCCTTCAATAATGAACTATCAAAAAATGGTAAATTCTGTAGATTTGTGACCATGATTTGTTCGTCCCTTGAGAGACCAATGCCAGTAAATAGCAAGAGTAAACAGTGGCATGAACAGCCTGCCATAGTTAAATCCAACTTAAAGTCAATCTCAGTCTTTGTGAAACATTCCCCTGGTTCGAAAGATGGCTAGAATTTCACTTCTCACACCAGGTGAAATTGCATCCTCCAATAAAAGTTTATTTATTCTTTCAATTAGGACTATTGTTGGATTCTTGTTTTTCTTTCTGATCTGCTCATGCCGAGTTTCAGGTATGAATAAATTCAATGCAAAATCTGTACAGTTCCCACGCATGGAAAAATTTATCAGGGCATCGAGGGCCTAACGGTTTTTCAGCCACCAGGCCCTCGTTTAAAGGAAAACCATGATGACTCAGGCATAAGGCAACCTCAGCCAAAAAATAACTCTGTGTATTTTAAGTTTAATGTACACACATGTACAAAATTGTTTCAAATATGCCTGTAAAAATATATTGTACTGCTTGTACAGTGGAACCTCACTATAACAAGGCCCTCAGGACTACGGAAATTTCATTGTTATAATAGGAATCTTGTTATATGAGGGTAAAAATAAAAGAATGTAAAGAGCTGGGACCAGCAAAATCACCTTGTTATATCAGAGCTGTTTATAATGAAGTTCCACTGTATCATAAAATGATTCCCTAGTAAAACCTCTTGATATGGCTATAGATTGGTTTCCAGCAAGGCTGTGCCAATGGAATGTTTTTCATTAGACTGACTGGACTGGTAGAAGTCCCATTGCTATTACAGATAATCAATGCAGAGGGAAGCGGATTTGTTCCTTTCTTAATTAAACTCACACTGCTTGTTGATTAGCACGCTAATATCCAATAGATTAAAGTTTAATCAAATGCTGCTCTCCCTCCTCCCCTCTCTCTCTCTCTCTCTGTCCTTCCTCCCCCTCTCTTTCTCTCCCCTCCCTATTTCTTTCAATCTCTACCCTTCATCCCTCTTAATTATCTCACCCTATTTATCACCATCTCTATTTCTCTCTCCCCCAAGTGATACGTTCTGCAACTTACATGTATTATGCAAGGATCAATTCTACAATTACCAACACATACGTAGCACTGGCAAAAGAAATTAGAAAATTAAATTCTTTCCAAAGCACTATCAAACATCTCAAGAATTTTTTAAAAACTAGATGTAACATATGTAGAAACAGGACTGTCAGTTTTGGTAAAAGGGGTGTAAACTGACGAATACAGGGGAACGCCATCTACATGTACGTCTCCTTCTGGATAACTGCACGTAAATAAATGGACTTGATTAACAAACGGTAGTCAGCAACTTAATCTCTACATGGTCAGCGCTCCCGAAACAGACCAAAGTTCTCCTCATGCTTCGGTTTCGCGTATGTTGCATGCATGTGATTGCTGCGATCGCGTCCGTAGTTGAATTATGCCCGATTGTAGTCTCCTCAGTTTACACCCCCCTTTAAGTAACACTGTCTTTAGTCTGCAAGTATAGAAAGCTGTTAAGAATATCACAAAACACATTTCTTGATGATGAAGCATAATGTATTATACTTTAGGCATGAACCAGACAGTATTAGAATTGCAGACCTACCCTCTCAAAAAAATTAGAGCGATCACCGACATAACTCATCTGGAAAGTGAAAATTTATGAGAATTCATGTATGCTGTTAGGTTTAGGAATCACAAAAAAAAAGATAAAAAATGGTCCAGCTCTGCTGAAAATCACATGCCCTGCACAAAGAAATGTGCATGTGGCACACACATTTTGGCATAAAAATTTGGTCCAACATTTTTACAATGTAGCTTATTTCAAGTCACATTTCAAATTATATATAAGGGGATATGTAGAGCAATTATTTTTACTGGATATTTCTACAATGATATTCCAGATTAAAACACTAGAATAGAAAAATAAAAAAAGCTCACAAGTGATTTTTCACCTTCATCAGAACTCAACCTGTCCTTTCAATAAAAAAGCCAGAAGGATGGAATCAGGCTAGAGAACTTATCGTGTGTTTAAAGAGAGAGAGAGAGAGTATCTAATGAGAATTTTATTACACGCTATATCAAGCTTGCAATCCACTGGCTACTCTTATATACTAAACATCACTGATGCAGCACACTGAAAGAACCCATTCTCATTATGCTCAGGAGCCATTGGATTGGTGTTTTTTTCTCCAATCGACCATATTTTGTTATCACCTCCTTCAATACTCTTCTTATTCTCATACAATTGCCCATAATTTGTTGCTATTATACAAGCTTTGCTTCTTAAGGTTTCCTGTTTTTCAAATTATTGTTTCTCTATGTTACTTGTCTAATTGCCTATTATTGTTTAATGATGCATTCTCTCATTAAATCTTATGTATGAGACAATCTTTGTTATGTGGAATTTGGAACAATAAAACATACTTTACAAATGATTATCAATGGACTATGACCTAAAGTAAAGAAGTACGTATACATACAGTACCTACTACATATTACAAAATCTGATTGCAGTCAATTCAGATAGTCACAGTGTGCTACTAAAAGTATTAAAATGGATCAGTAATGGGTAGTGGGTAATCAAATAAGAATAACAATTGAAATACATGTAGAATGTGTGGGTAATTTTGTATAAAACCAGAAAACATATGAGAATAAAGGCATGTACAGATATGGTGCGGTAATCCACCATAAAAAACCTCCACATTTTTTGTTATAAGTCAAATACGCGCAAGAAAGGACTTGTGCATACTGAGATAGAGAATAAGGATACAGTATTTTGCATCATCTATTTTTTAAATGCTACTCTTTTGCTGCATCAGATATGAACGAGTATATATTAGGGAAGCGTAACTTATTTCCAAGGCACATTTTATACAAACAACCTGCATGCAGAGACCACATGTGGTCAATTTGATATTTCACTAAATAAAATGATTACAATTATTGTTTAGCATTCCAGGCATCATCTGTGCATGGAAGGGGAGAAGCAAACTTAATCACTGTAACCCTCAGCTCTTTCCATCTGGTTTGAACTTATTTATTTATCTATTAATTTTTTTCTGATATTTATACAGGGTGGCACATATCACCAATTTGGTGGTCTTCCATGAGGCCTTGTTTGGTAAGAATAAAACAAATAACAGCATCAAAAACGGCATAGATAAATATACAAGCATATAAACAGGTAAAATACAAATTAATTGGTATCCCCATGAAATAACTGATTATTCAAGAATCATCCTTAATCATTTAAAAGAAATAGGTGAATGGAATTTTCATATTAAAAAGAATTTTTTAATATTTTGGAACTGGTTGGAAATTTGGTTCTTTTCTTTTTGAGAAAAGATCATGGGATCTAGAAGTGGATGGCAAAAAGAAGACCAAAGACTTCGTGGAAAAATATGATGAAGAGAAAAAGCATTAAGGTTGGTCTAAATGAAGAGGGTGCTCAAGACAAGAAGAAGTGGAGGGAGGGAGTTTTATCACTGCGTGAAAGTCAGTAACCCCACATACAGTAAGAGGGAAAATGCTGACTTTAATAAATGATGATGATGATGATGTTTATTGTTCAACTGATTTGTTAGAGGATAAATTCATGGTGCCCTGAATTATGCAGGGCAAAATTATTTTAACTATTGGTCGACACCAGGTACAGTCATCATGATTAGAAGTATGTTGTTAAGTATGATAAAGTAATCAAGGCACGTGTTAACAACATCATTTCATAGTCGAGAATCGGAATGGAATATGGATCACAGACGGATGATGGCTCTATATTGACATCCTTACATGATATAACACATAGCAGGTGGCAAACTTCATTATAACTCTCTCTCTCTCTCTCTCTCTTTCTCTCTTTATCCTCTATCTACATGTATACATTGTAGATCTCTCTCTATCTCTCTCTCTCTCTCTCTCACAGTTTATTTCTCTTTCTCTCTTTCTCTCTTTCTCACTCTCTCTATCTCTATAGACCTCAGAGCTCTCTCTCTCTCTCTCTCAATCTTTAGGCCTACATGTACACATAATTCTTAATACCGACATCATTACCTCTGCTGTAATGAATTTTCAATTGTGCCACCTTTTCATGAAGGTGTGCATCTAGCAATTTCCTGTTCCTGTACAGTTCCATACAGTTGGTAATGCATTGTGGGACTGCCAGCACACTGAGACATTGAGCAGCAGATAGCAGTACACAAACATGTAAATTTATAGTAGTGTCAGTAGAATACCTGCCTTTCATTTACACCAACATATAAACATACAATGAACTAATACATAAAAACATGGTGAGGAAAAAGAATACAAAGTTTGGATTCAGGTGGAAAGAACATAAACATGGACATGCTTGAGATCATGCATGCAATTTGGATAATAAATAAATAGAAAAGGGGCAAACACTACACCTTGAGGGACATCCCCACACCAATAGTCATGGTGTTCAACCCTGACTGGAGGCTCTTCTCTTCTGAAGCGGATGATCAACGGATGAAGAAGCCACACTACTATCCTCCTTATCTCCTCGTAGCATCCCATGACCTGGCTTGCCAAGCTTACACCGAGGTCAAAGGTCAAAGGTCAGGTGGGGTCAGACGGGATAGGACACAGGGTACACTGGACACAAAAACCAACGGAAGAGGCTTGGGTTCTACAGAGAGTTGAGATAGAAACAATAACAGTTGGAAAGACTACAAGGATTCTAATGGTTCATGAGCTCTAGTCACTTTGAACATGACGGACAAAAAAAAAGAGGACAAAATAAGAACATATAGAGTTCCTCATTCTACCCTCAACAATTGCTGTGGTAGACAAAGGAACATCCCTTTACTGCTATTATGTAAAAATGTTTAGAACAGGTCATGTCACATGTTTATTCACCTGTTCTACACATTTTTACATAATAGCAGTGAAGGGATGTTCCTTTGTCTACCACAGCAATTGTTGAGGGTAGAATGAGGAACTGTATATTTTGTCCTCTTTCTTTGTCCGTTATATTCATAGTGAGTAATGTCTAGAAATATGAACCAAAGTTTCAACAAATTAAATAAAACAATAAAAGACAAAATGTATACATTGAAAACACAAAATAGACTTTTGCATAATTAATAGATTACATATTTAAACATAAAATAGCACATTTGGGTCTAATGGTTTACACACACCTGGTAGAAAAGCAATACATTATCACAATACTTCACTCATTCTGCCAACATTTCTCTTCAGGAAGAAATTTTATCTCTGTTAATATGTACATGTATTTACAAACTTGTGTGATGTATGATGTCCACATTATAAATGACTTCAAAACACATTTCTGGACAAAAACAGTTTTAGAATTCAGCTGGATCAAAAACACCCCCTTACATGTACATGTAGGCTGCTAAGCGAGTAGGACAAAGCGCCCTAACATGCATACATAAGCAACATCACTTCACAACGCGTTGGTAATTAAAAAAATTGATTTGCACTCAGGTAATAGGAATCAATTAAATCAATATCAATATTTTCATGATGCATGCAAGCTGTTGTCACTGTCAGCCTGTCAGAGTTAAAATGCAATATGATGAGCAATCTATTACAACTAATCCCTTCTGCAAAGCTGCTTTCAGAATAGCATGTATCAATCTAATTATACCTTGTTCTTCGTTTAGTTTAATAGGATCGTAGGGATCATGCTAATGTATGTACTGTTTGTCCCTTGTTGTTGCTTGCGTAGTCACTTTAATACTGTAACAAATTACAGTACAGTTCATGTTACTTGTACAGTGTAAATTGTATGGTACATGTATGTTTGTGCACAATGAAACAAGTAGATGTACATCTACTGGTGATAGACCTGTTAACTAAAACACTCTCAAATTTTGTGCATAATTTTTTTTTTTAATATTGTTTAAACTACCTCAAACTGTCAGGCAAGTGTTAGGCAAGCTTTGAGGCTCAAAGCTTGCCTAACACTTGCCCGACATAGCAACGCATACTTCATCCAGACTACCTATTTGAAAGTTGAAGAAAAAAAATTGATAATTCTATTAAAATTGTAAAATGAAATTGTAAAATGTTAAAATGTTTAATATTTGTACAAATTATTTCTTGTATTCATTTTAATGTAATAAATTTTAAAATGTTGAAAAATGTCTAAAATTTCAACTTTTAATAAAAGAATTTTTTTTTTAATTGATGATGATGATGATGATGATGATGATGATGATGATGATTTTTTTTTGTCGGATGCAGGATATAAAACATATACCCTGCTATCTTTACTAGGTACTGGTTATAACTAAGGGCCTCACCGCCTCGGTGACTCCAATAGTGCTATTGGAGTCACCTCATGTCCATTCTTTGAACCAGAACCTCTCAAGACAATACCGTATATTTATTATTAAAGGTTTTGTGAATATGGGCCCTGATCTAAAGTGTACATGTATATGTTGACTGACTACCTTGCACTTTGTTGTGAATTGTCTTAATGCATCTTAACCCGTTGACTACTGAATTGTATAAGTCCCATAGGCTTAACACAGGGACCACCAGGTTCCCGTAAGCAATGGGTTAAAGGTACTATGTCCCATTTGCAGGCCAAAAAAATGAAAAAGTTAAATTCCAACTGCATTTGAAAGATAATACTAATTTAGAACTTCCCTAAAAAAGGTGGGGCTTGAAAATGTCTTCAACTGGGAAAATAACGACTATTAGTTGTCAAATCGACTTTAGGGCTATAGAGCCCAAAAGTAATAGTCTTGATTTTCAGACAATTGTACCGAATGGTCATACGTTTTATGCTGCGCAAAGATTCAATCAGTTTAATCTTGGCCATCACAAGAAGTGGGTTATTGATGTAGACAAATGCTCATGTTCCCTTTACAACTCTTTTCATGTATGTTATTACCAAAGAAGAAAAAAAGCCAGTCAGTCACTCAATAGTGTCTGACAGTGAAGTCTAGCAAGTAAATAGGTTTCCTTGCATAATTTGAATATGAGGACACTGCTAACGTTTAAATTTCACAGATAGGACATACATGACATATTCATAATTCTTGCACAGTTCTACAAAATTTGAGGTTGGCAACAAAAGGGACATGGTACCTTTAATACCTTGGTGTGTACAAGAATACATGACATAAATAAGTCATATTAATCAGGGCAGTAATATTAACCAGATAACACACAATAAACTAGTAAAAGTTATTTGATATTACAGCGCTTTAAAGATATTACAACCCAGTCTTTGGATTCAGGCTTGCCCACACACAATGTACATGCATGCACATTCTCCACTCCCTGGGGGGCATTCCATCCATCCCAGTGCCATTTAAGAGATGCTCCCAAATCATAATGCTGATCCAACTACTATGACTTTGGCATCCTACAGGGTACCCAATTTAACACCTGGGTGGAGAGTGGTAATTAAAAAGGTAACTTAGGTAAAGCTTCATTTCTCGTCAAATGATGTCAATTTTACAATGTTTTTTTTTAGGTTATATGAAAATTATCCAATGATCTAGATCTAGATTTGTTTCCTTTCTGGTCATTTTCTAAATCAAATTGTCAATGTTAGGTCTAAATAAAGAAGAAACAACTTTTTGGACGGATTGTGTCGAAATTTCAGAAGTTAACCCCTCCGCCCCCCCCCCCCCCCCAATATTAACAGAGTCTACCATTTGTCTATGTTTATGAGGAAGGTTGCATGATAATCAGAATAATAGCAGATGGTTATTTCTATCTAGAAATAGCCTGATTATCATGATTAACACAGGGCGCGACAAACCCGCTTGCCCGACGTCCCGGGGCAACCAAATTGAGCCGTCGGGCAAGTAAATCAAATTATCACTTGCCCGATTCGGGCAAGTGATACTTTTACAGTAATTTCCTAGTGTCCAAGAACTCTACCATTCACCCGTCAACTTCTTACCCGTCGTCAAAATCCAGAAGCAAAAAAGCGATCGTTCCGATTTCGAAAAAACTTCACAGACAGCTAGCCAGCTCAGCTAGCTCAGCGCGCATGCAACAGTGACACTTCAAGCCATGAATGCCGCTCCGCCTCCATGCACGGCCGGCCGTGAGCTAGCTAGAGACAGCTAGCGCGATCGTACCAGCTGCGAGCTTATTCGCGCTCTCTCTCTCTAGCTCTGCAGGCCGCACCGACAGGCCTTTGCTATTCTCTGATTGCCGATTGGTTGAATCACGCCAAATATGACGTCATTATTCTAGGGAAATGAACACGTGCGAATCGGAATGGAATAAACAACAGGGATTTTCTAGTAAGTACAAAAAGTCAAATGTTTGATATTTATTCATAATGACTGTTAATGATTGTGAACATATTATTTAAAACTCGCTGCTCATATAAATCAGATGAATGTTTTTGTCTCGTTTTCAATTTATTACTGCGGTCTCAAGATCCGACCGAGCGAGTCATTTTGATAATAGTATCGAGACCCCCAGAATATAAGCCGTTGTTGTTTTGTTTTCATGGTTTTAGCGACGTTGTTTAGTCTAGTTTTCGCATACTTATCCGAGATTTATCGTAAAATATCTTCAATATTATTATTTAGTAAGAATTTACAAATTTTGGCATGATATTTATAGCAGTGAATGATGAAATAAAAATGTCCGTACTTTATTTAAAATAGTTGATTACCCATTATTTACATGACGTTTCTTGATGGAAGAGTTGACCCAAATTATTAACAGCTGAAAATTAGCCTACGTTTCCAAATGACAGCGGCTTGCACAGACACACACGTGCGTTGATCAGCTGTTTTTTCTCGATTGTGCTAGTAAACAAAAGTTTTGGGCAAGTGGAAATATTGTTTGGGCAAGTAAATTGAAAACCCACTTGCCCGACAGGGCAAGTGGTGAAAAAAATTCTTGTAGCACCCTGTAACATAATCTATGTTAACACTGCCTTTTATGTATTACACTATACTATAATTAAAATCAAGACCCTACACTCTTTGGGGTTAGTGCACTTTCTCACTTGGTGCCTAGAGATGCCTAGAGATGGTGCCTAGAGATGCAAAGCCAAAGGAAATGCCTATATATAGCAGTATACAAGGCTATAGTATAGGCCTATTACAAAGCCTAATGTAGTAAACAAATATACCATATATACACCGAAAGGCTCTAGTTGAAATTATGGATCGAGGTGGCAGGAATAGCACTAGGCTATTTTCTGAGGGGCCTAGCCTCAAAGAAAGTAATGCTATTTCTGTAGCCGAGGAATCCATAATATCACTAGTGGCTTGAAATAGAGCATTTTTTTTTTTCAAAGTTCAAACCCACCTTCATAAAAATAATAACAACACAGCAGCGCAGACGACAGTACATAGAACTAGGCTGACGCCGATATCACATTGATCATGATCAATCGCATATCTATAATATATTTCATTACTCAAAAATACAACTTTCACTAGACTATAGAGGGTCTAGTTTATAGGCTTAATTATTCAGGGCTGTCAACCCTCCCGCATTTGGAGGGAGTCTCACGCCACCAGCACGCTCATTCTCCCGCCGTCCCAATAGCTCGTAGCGGGAGACTCCCGCCAGCACGCCTTTCCTCCCGCTCTCCCGCTTCGATGTAGATCTCCTGGTTTATGAAAAACCTCCCGCCAACAAAAAATGGAATCCAGAATATTCTACATCGAAGCGGGAGAGTGGGAGGAAGGGTGTGGTGGCGGGAGTCTCCCACTTCAAGCTGGTGGGAAAGCGGGAGAATGATGAGTGTGGTGGCGCAAGACTCCCTCCAAAGTACAAATGTGGGAGGGTTGAAACCCTATATAGGCCTATAACGGAATCAATGACATTTGAACCACATTTTAGGCACCTGGCTTCGTGAGAATAAGCACGAGCGCCCATTGTTATTGGCAAAAGATTGTTAGCAAAAGATTATGGCGAGACACAAGCCAAGACGAGAGTAAATCAGACCCAGCACAGTCAATCTCCTTAATTAGTTTTCCGTAGATCATACTTGACCTTCATCGTGTACGTAAATGAACTAGTCTAGATCTAGATCTAACTTAGTTAGGCCTAGCCCTAGGCCTACACTACAGCTTACCTGTCAAAGGTGCTATTTTTCCATCCATGCAGGAAAACATGTATGTTTAGGGGTAGAATACCTCTTCAAAGTTGCTGTGAAACTGTGCACAGTGCCAGTGCAGTGCAGCAGTGCTCAGTCAGTGCAGTGGGTTATTAATTTTCTAGCGAACTAGCTCTTCCGATATGTGATGCGAAAGCAGACGACAGACCCCGGACTTCCCCGTCTTTCCTCCTTGACCTACCGTTGAAAGTACGTCCAATAGCTAGCTCTGTGTCTCAGCTGACTGCACTGTTGTGCGCTGCCAGCGTACACGTATCATAACATGTTTCGCTTCGCATGCAATTGGTAGTCTTTGGTAAAATAATAGGATTTTAATTGTTAAATCTATAATGTAAAAGATACATTTTTCAAACAAAATTAAATTACTAAATCAGTCCACATAATATATTTAGTTCATTCATATATATTACTTTCAAAACTTGAATCGGTAACATTCCGAAGATTTACAATATCAAATTCAATCATACTACAGTGCGTAGTTTCAAGACTACGTTGATTTCGCCGTACTCTGTTTGCTGCCATCTAAGCGAATAAGCAAGACAGTTCGTTCATTGATAATAATAAAAACAAGTTAAAAACGCATAATTATAACAACTATCTTTAACAGTTAAAGATCCTCACTTTGCCAATAAAATAATGTCAATCGATTGTTCAAAAGAAAATTTACGTTCATCTAGAAAGTAAATTAAATAGAATTTTATCTATTAAAAAAAGTGAAAATTTACAATAATTTTGTGCATAATTTTCAGAGCACACATGCAGAAAGACACAAGAAAGTGAATAGATTAAATAGATTAATAGATGCGTTAAGAAGCATATGTACAAACTAAAGTATTACGAAAGTTTGTATCTAAAGCTTAAAATGAAAATTGTATAATGCTAGTAATCAACAATGATTATATAATATGGGTATAAATAGGGGCTGGCTGGTCCACATAATTTTTATCACAGAGTGTTAGAGCAGAAAACATCAAAGAAATAATTATGGCCTCAACCTCGAAATCTTTTTTTTTTTTAAAGGTGACAGGCTCAAATGATTGAACATGTTGGCCCAAAAAAGACAAAATAGTCAATTGAGTGCATCATTATAATGTCCTTATACATTTTAGCCAGTTGTCCTATCAAACAAAATAAAAACACCCTCAAATTACCAAACACGGACTGTAAATTTCAATACAATACTGATGAATCGACAAAAAATCATTTTCTACAGTTTTCTAGATCACTAATTATGGAAATGCATCTCCCGGGGCAATCTAAGAAATTGCTACCCCCCCCCCCCCCCCCCGCCCCCTCCCTCAAATTTATCTACAAAAGTAAAGGAGCAGTCGAACGAGCTGACGTATCAGGTCGCAATTTTTATTGAAAAGACTGATGGAACTAATGTTTTATTATAGGGAGAAATTACGAGAATTCTATTTCCGTCTTTAACATTTGAACCCTTTAAAATTGTTATTTATTTACTGTATTATCTTCAGTATAATGGGGCGCGAAATTACGAAATCATGACCGCGAAGCAAAATAATATGCGAAGGAGCAAGTTAAATGAAACTTATTCAAAAATCGGTTCAAGTGCGGGCAGGCGCGGATCCAGGATTTCTTAGGGGAGGGGGCCCAACTTTTTTTTTTTTTGCTCCCGAAAATTTGAAAATCGCGCCGGCCGAAAAGTCGCTCAGTGTAAAAAAAATCACGTGATTTTACATGATTTTTTTTCTCAAGGGGGGGGGGGGGTGCCGGGCCCCCCGGGCCCCCCCCCCCCCCCCTGGATCCGCCACTGAGTGCGGGGACTGTTGAAATTGATAATGGAGTCATCAATTAAGGAAATAATCCTAACCATAGGAGCCGAAAGTGGGGGGGGGGGGGGTGTATTTCTTATTCGATACCAGTGATTTACAAATGTTGCTGTTATGACATGATTTTCCAGTATTTTTTCTCCATTTTTTGGTAAGTCATACCTTTTTATGCGTTTGTTGGAAAATAAGAAATTCCCAAATTACAGTCGGGCGAAAAATACGCTTATTTAGAAACCTTTATGTCATGGTCTGCAAAGTGGCTAGGCTCGAGCCCCCCCCCCCCCCCCCCTCACTTTTTAAAAAATTATGTCAAAGAAAAAAAGAAAGAAAGAAAGACGGAGAGAAAAAAAAAGTGACCTGCCAATGTCACAAAAAAGGTATAAAAAATGCTCATCTGACCGTAATTAAATGCCTAAAACCCCAGAGTTTACGGGGGCTCCGCTCCCGAGCCCTACCAAGGGCCCTAAGTCGGTCCCCTGGATGCTCATCTGACCGTAATTAAATGCCTAAAACCCCAGAGCTTTCGGGGGTTATGCCCCATGGAACCCCACCAAGGGCCCTATAAGGCGGGCCCCTGGATGCTCATCTGACCGTAATTACATACCCAAAACCTCTGAGCTTCCGGGGGCTCTGCCCCTTGGACCCCACCAAGGGCCCTAAGGCGGGCCCCTGGATGCTCATCTGACCGTACTTAAATACCTAAAACCCCTGAGCTTCCGGGGGCTCTGGACCCCACCAAGGGCCCTAAGGCGGCCCCTGGATGCTCATGTGACCGTATATAGTTAGATATTAAAACCTCTGAGCTTCTGGGGGCTCCCCCCCCCCCCCTGGCCAATGGCCTTAAAGAGGGCCCCTTGATGCTCATCAGCCGTAATTAAATACCTAAATCCCCAGAGCTTCCGGGGGCTTGGCCCCTTGACCCCCTGCCGATGCTCATGCCCTGGACCCCACGCTAATTACGCTCTACCTGATTGTTAATACTCCACTTTGAAAAACGTTCCTCGGGACCTGCATGTTAGTGTAAGACTGGTAGTGATGCAGATTTTTCGTCTCCCCCCCCCCCTTCCGAATGTTTTTTTTTCTCATTACGTCACTGCCCCTGGAAGGTGAGCCTCCCTGGAATGTCCCCCCCCCCCCCCCCCCCCCCCCCCAAAAAAAAAAAAAAAAATCCCCAAACTGCTTCCGGCGCGCCTGATCCTAACCATTTTTTCAACTCTTTGTTTGTGATGTTTATGAAGACCAATCATACTCGATAAGCTTCATAGATTAAAATGATTCCTGTACATTTTAAATACACTGTAGATCCCGGGGTGACATTTGAAATTATCGTCCTATTTGACTTCTTCCTATGTTTTTTGTTATTTTTTGAACGACGTTTGTATAAAAGATTGTACACTGGACGTATCTTATTCTAAGTTCATGCAACAATACATGTCAGTCCTAATGGTTTTCGTTCTCCGCATCGACGGCTTTCCTTTTTTACTTCAGGAAAAAGCCTCAAGAATAATTCATAATGCTTCATAACTTACTATTACCCAATGATTTAACATTGAAATTTGTTTATGTTTTTGTGTTCTAAATATCTAATAGGGCCTACACCAGAGAGTTACGTCTAGTTTCTTCTTGATTTAACAGACAAGTGATGGCGCAAGATCACTAGTTTGATGACCGAATGCACACTATGCAGAAAGGCCACATTATAATGTTTAAACAAGAGATGGCGCTAGACCACTCGTTTGCTGACAGGATTTACATGATCCAGAAATCTAGCCCTATTTAAACAAGAGATGACGCATCTTAAAGGTAATAAAAAGTTTTGGGAAATTTTGGACATTAGGTGGATAGTGATTCTTTACAATTTTGATATATTTGGACGCCACTGTGGATGTATTATACGCACAAGAAAATTTAGCACCTAAAACACTTCTGCTTTTCAGACAAACTGAAAATAGAAATTTACCGGTGCTCCCGGTAAACTTTGATGAATTTAAAATAGTGCCTACGGGCGAACAATGGTAGCTGCGACCATGAAAATCTCAGAATATGTAGTTGTGATATATAATTTCCAAACTGGAATAGCTAATCGGTCAATTTTAGTCAAGAAACATTGTTTTATAGCTTAATTAATATCTTGACCTTGAGAGGGAGCCATACAACAAAAAGAGTTTATTATTTACAATTTCATAACTTTAAAGTCGATTTCAACCGCGACAACGATCACTGAATATTGTAGGATCGCATATGCTTCCAATATGTTAGTTTGAACCAAATTCACAACCCAATACCAAAACTTTGTATTACCTTTAAAGGCAATGAAAGTGCAGCGACCGAGCTTCAATTTTTTTCTCATTTTACACCCCTAGAAAATGGGGGCGTTTACATTCCCTTACCGTAATGAGACTCCCTTCAATCTCTTTCCTTTCAATTCTCTAATACGTTTATAAGTTTCAGTCAACTGCATCGTCTCTAACAATAGGAGCATGCAAAACTCTTGACAAAATGGCTCACCAAATATATCCATTTATTTTAATCCTTTTAACATTTTCTTATTTTTTTCAAGCTCATTTGATTTTTTTTTTTAAACAAATAATTTCCCAGTGCACTTTAATTATGTTCACTGAAAATTAACACATGTGAATACCATTATGGAAAAATACAGCAAATAATCTACCGAAGCAAAAGCATCATCCTTCTTAATAAACTCATTATCTCTCCCTCTTCAAATAGACAGCAGTTTTTTTTTGTTTTCTTTGGCAGTTAAATGCTTTTAAACGTCAAGCATTCAAGAATACAATCATACATGAATTTCCCACCCTGTATACATGTAATACAGGCAGTGGGTCTTAAACTTTTTTGGCCTCCTGGTCTAAACGCTATGATTCTCAAAGTACACTTTTCAGTGAGTGCTATTAACCCTTTTATTGCAACTGTTCAGAAAATTCAGGATCTACCTATTGAGTCCCAACACATGTGGTCATTTCTTAAAATGTACCAAACACCTGAAGAAGAAAAAAAAGTTTAACATAAAAACTGAACATGGCATTCTATAGATCGGTTAAGAGGTAATAATATAAAGAATAACACGAAACCCTGTGTATGGGCTCGTCTGGAACCTATTCCATACCGGTACTTGTTTGAGAAGTATTCTACTCAATAAGGCTTTTGACAGTTCACTGGAAATGTATTTAAACTGCAATCTATTTGAAGCACATAGTTTGAATACAGTATAGCCACATGTAACCTCTAATACATCAAGAGCAAAACATGTTTTGGTGATTGTTACATGCACACTTTAAGACAAACTTTGATTCAATAATTTTTAACCCCAAACTCTTCAATTTGACTCAAATTCAAATCACTTTTAATATTGTATATTCAAACTGTCATTTCAAAAATGTATTCATTTTTAACATTGTATATTCAAACTGTCATTTCAAAAATGTATTCATTTTAATGGATTGTCATTAGTGTCCCTCATACAAGGTTTTTTATTCTAATTTGTATAGATTAAAGGCATATTTGAATAGATATTTTTGAGAGTGTATTTCCCCCCTAAAACATTCAAATACCAAATAATCCCAGGTTAGGAAGCACTTCATGAAGTAGCCTCTCAAGAAGTCCTGTCTAATGACTGAAATATCACGAGCATTGGGTAACAAGAAAGATAATTCTACAAAGTATTTAAAGGTAAAGGCCAGTTTTGGAAACGCCCCCCTCTCAAAAATGAAATGGAAGCTTTCTTAATAATTTCTTTCTGAATAAAAGCCTAATATACAACAAGGTAGAATCCCCTTAAAATCTAACATTTACACATTACAATCTAATTCAACAATTGATTTCAGAGAAGAGAACACTTATAAAAAAAATGAACAACTGCATCGCCAGACAAGTGCCATACAATGTACATACATCTTCATCTAACACCATTTAAAAAAATTACTAACAGATATTTCATTTAGTTATGAAATATTGTTTAAAACAGGTCATACATAGGAATACATTTAACAATTTGAATAATGAAAACAACTTCTGAATACATTGCCCGTCACAAACACACATTGATTGCAAATACTTATAATCTACATTGAAAGGATATAACAAATGTTTGACATCGTAACTCTTTATTTGCTTTTGTCAACTAATGAAACAAACACTTGATTGCAACAGTTGATTGATATCACATGTATAACATGTATATGTACAACATACTTCAAAACAATATAGCCGTCTAGGATTTTAAAGGGAAATCCAACCTTAGTTAAACTAGTCTATTAGAAAGGAGAACAAAATCAGAGAACCATACTAGTGAAAGTTTGAACAAAATCGGACAATAAATAAGAAATTTATGAATTATTGAAAGTTGTATGGGGACCTCCAATTGGTTGAATCTGTAATGTCACAGTGATGTTCTGCCAGACAACTTTCTCATTTGTTTCAACACATAATCTAACTAAAATGTCACTTCTGTCAAAATGTATAACTCGGGAACGTCTTTTCTTTCTACAGGACCTATACTAGTATGCTATCCAGAATATTTCACATTTCAAACATTCACAACTTTTTTATTATTGGTCTGTTTTATTCAAACTTTCACCATTGTGTTTCTCTGATTATTCTGAATTCATACAAATTAACTTATTACAATGGTTGGATCACCCTTTAATTCGTAGCAGATAAAGAATATGAATAGCTTGGAAGATTAATATGGCAATCATAGGCTTGGTGCAGCTAACAAAACAAATCCATAATATAAAAATATATTATTTTTTTCTGTAAACTGAGCACAATCAAATATTTACAACTCAAATACTGTGCATCTCTTTCTTTTTACACTATGCACATCCTAAGTACAAGTACGTCTATTACACACTCAGATTTATTTTAAAAAATCAACAACAAATAAAATAATCTGAATACTCATTGCGAGAAAATTTCTCATCCTTTCTCCAAAAATAGAGTACCGGTAGTACATAATTTTTATGTCAGTCTGCCATAATCACAAAATCAATGTATCAAACTAAAATTGTTATCAATGGAATGTATTCTGTTCAAAAAATACATATGAATTATAATTCAGAAAGAATATTACAAAAACAATTTCCCAGAAGTTAAAAATAATCTCAGAGAAACAGGAGCAGCAAACTTGATGTACAGTAGATAGTAACAATGAGCAGTCTTTGGTATACAGTGAATAACAGGAGTGAATCTGGAAAATTAAAGTGAGCTTCATCAATTCAAGGCATGACAAATTAATGGAGCCAAATTGAAATTTGCATTTCAATCGATGGACTTTACAACAACAAAAAAAACATATTTGTCTGAGATATAAAAGATGAAAGCTGATATGAGTCTGAGCAAAACTCCTTGAATGTCTTACCAAAACGTACTTTGTTATAAAAATATATGAAGGCACATTGCAAAATAAAAGAAGTCTTTTAGTGGATAGCACAGGGGTGATAGTGAGCACTAAAAAACAATACTTTTTTTTTTTTTTCCCCTCAACCACGCCCCCCTTGAGTAAAAAAAAAAGAAGAGGATTCGCAGGGAAAAAATGGCATCTAACAACATTTCCCCCTTTCGAGTAAGAAAATTGGAAAAAAATAGGGCAAAATAGAGAAAATAAGGGGGATATCAGGAAAATCAGGACAAAAAAGGGAAGGAAAAAAAAATCTGGTAAAAAAAAAGAAAAATTAGGATTTTTTTTTTTTTTAAATCAGGAAGATTTTTTTTTTTTAAATCGCAAAAAATCAACAACAAAAAAATCGGGATTTTATCAGGCCTGATAGCAGCAACATCAGAGGACATTACATTTGGCAATGCTTCATGAAATTGTCTGTTTAGAGCCAGAAGGGCATTACCTCTGTGTTAAAGTAAAGTATATGAGCCAACATCCTTCTAGCCCCAACTTGATTAAACAACATTCTCTCATAAGATCAAACATAAAGGCATGTTTTTGAAGGTTTCATATTGTGCTAGTACAAGAGAATTCTGTAAAGCATTTATAACAAAAAGCTGGTCACTTTCAATTATTTCCCACATTTTTAAATCATCAGACTGGAATGTATACACATACACATGAATAGATTCATTTATATTTTGGCAGAATACAATAATTTGGAAGCTTTTTTTTAAAACGAATACATTTACTTAGCAGTTATTCATAAAATAAAACAACACAATGGGCTTGGAAAAATAGAGCTTATTGTTGATTGCAACATTGTAAATGTACAGTGGACAGTTTGAATAATCTAACCTATTTCTACTTCCCTGCAACACCTATAACATGGCTTGTAATTATAACACAGAAATTGCAATTGGTTTTACATGTATAAAAATGAACCTGTATTTGATTGCAACTATTGTCAATACCCTATACCCTATTGTACATACCCTATATATCATGTTCGGATAACGTAATACCATGTTTTCATGTTTGCACATGCCAATAAGTGATGCACAAGGCTATTGATACTGGCTCAGGTCGATTTGGGAGAAAGTTTGATTATTTTTTCGTCGAAATCCTGTTGATGTGGTGGTACTGCAAACCTCGCTCATATTTTTTTGAAGTAGTTGCCATTTGTGTCAATAATAGATGGAATAGAAAGACTTTTGAGCAATAAACCCAGCAGTATGGTAGAAATTATGGAATACATTGGATGGAATTCTTGTTTTAATTACATCACACACAAATAACAGAATACATGAGAAACATGAATGGCATTGAAATCTATTTTCTTCTTCAGTTTCCTGGTTGTTTTAGAGTACTTACGAAATCTGGAATTCTTAGCAGTTTTCTATGAATACACATGTACATGACAAAATACTTGACCAGTTTCCACAAACAATAATATAATTTGCTGATGATTCATTCAGTAAAGGCATTCATATAGTGTGCAAGGTGCTACTCCATACATGTAGTACTAATAACAAGAATAACAGTGGGCTATTGTATAGCGCTCATGTCTGTCAGACTCGACACTGTTGGCGCTCAACAATTACTATGCCGGCTTTAGCATGACTGCCATCACGGCGCTCTAGCATTTCAAAGAATTACTTCCTGCCAGGTACCCATTTACCTCACCTTTCTTGGGTGCGGCACATACAGATTAATGTCTTGCCTAAGGGCGTTAGTTCCATGACGGGGCTCAAACCATGAATCATGTGATCCACAGTCAGGTGACGTAGCCACTAGACCACACATGTAAAATAAAAAATACATGTATTTTTAGTGAGAAAAAAGCTAACTTCAGTCACACAAAAGACCTCAATAATGAATGCTCATCAATTTGATCAATGGTGAGCAAAGTATTCAATCATCAAAACAGATATCGCACAACACAAGAATGATATGCATTAAAATGCAATATGTGATATGATCAAAATAATGGCTCTATAGTATCTTTTGCAGGGCTCATCACCGACCATTCTGTAAGTCTGTAAGCATGAGACCACTGTAAATGTGTCCTAATTTTCGGGGTCCAGACTGAAGATTTTGGGGGCCCATGTGCGCTGTTAATGTCAAGCCTTGCCTTTTTTTTTGGAGGGGGGGGGGGGGGCTTATCTCTGAAAAATTAATACAGGTAGATACAATTTGGCAACAGTATTGGTGACAAAAGCCCATGGAGATTTTGATCACTGATTTCAGTGGTGATTTTTTTTTTCTTTTTTTTTTCACTTTGGTCGGTTGTAAAAAAAAAATGGTAAAAGGCGATTCCATGCAATGTGGTCCGTACAACAAGTCTTTTTTTTCCTTCACATATTTCATAAAAAACTGAAGAATCTTATGATATGACCAATGAATAATGGTGCTTTCTGTTATTACTACCACTAGTCATAGTCATATTAAAGGATCATTCATCCATTGATAAAATATATGGATAAATGTCACATGTAATACGTGACACATTGCATTAAAGCACTTTATGACAAACAATAGGGACAAAAACAACTTTACATAGCTGAGAGCTGGTTATCTTCTTCCGTTATTATTGACACTATCATGCCAGGTACCGGTACACATTTACCTCACCTTGGTTTAATATATGGATAAATGTCACAATGTCATGTTATACGTGACACATTGCATTTAAGCACTTTATGACAAACAATGAGCACAAAAACAACTTTACATAGCTGAGAGCTGGTTATCTTCTTCCGTTATTATTGACGCTATCGTGGCTCTTGTATTTGGCATTCATGACAAAATAATCATCCTGTATAGTTTCACCCTCTCCTAGCTCTACTGCTCGTCCGATCCGCTTCATGGACGTCACGACGTGTTTATCGAGGTAGGATTCTAACGTCTCCCATCCACCTCCTACACGGACCATGACATGTCGCCCTCGAAGCATCTAAAATCAATACAGAGATAATAATAATAATAATATAAATGGTACTTAAAAGCACTTACCACCAAAGTCTCTATAAGCTCAAAGCGCTATAACAAACAAAATACAATGATAAACACTTGCATATTAAACAAAACAAAAATAAAATGCAAATATAATTTTGAATAAATTTGTCTTAAGACAAGTTTTGAATTGGTTGACAGTCTTACAGTTTTTGACATTTAAAGGTAGTTTGTTCCAAAGTTCAGCAGATGCTTTGCAGAAAGAGCGATGACCATGAAAAAGAGTTGACATTGAAGTAGACACAAGGTTTAATTGTGAAGATGACCGTAGATTGCATGAGGGTTCCTGGATTAGTTGAACAAAGATTTGTTGACAAAGACTTTAAAATTTGAGCAATTATCCGGTATTGTACTACACCTGTACTCTTTAATAAACTGTAAGCCAGTATAGTTTTTGTAACAATATTAGAAGATTGATGTCTGAAATACTAACCCTGATCAAGACGATCTTTCCTCCAATGTTGTACTTTCCTTCTGATATCCTATGGATGTCCGTCACTTTCTTCTCTTTAGAGATCTTACGGACCTATTACAGGCAATTGATTAAAAAGGGAATCAGGCAACAATGTCAAGATATATTGAAATACTACCTACTAGTACTTTAGCTGTGACAAAAGATTGATCTAGAGTGTCAGGGATAACTATTATAGTTACGTTTCTCTCCTCCTTCTCAATCTCTTTCTCAAGTTTGAGTAATCATGTGATAAGATCTTATAGGCTGAAACTGGTCTTAAACTATAACTGGTCTTAGACTATAACTGGTCTAGGTCCTTACCTGTTCATCTAACGTTGAGATTTTTTGCTGAGACTGGTCTAGGGTTTCTCTCCTCCGTCTCAATCTCTTTCTCAGCTTAAGTAATCCTGTGATAAGATCTTATAGGATAAAACTGGTCTTAGCCTATAACTGGTCTAAGCTCTTACCTGTTCATCTAAGGTTGAGACTTTTTTTTGTTGAGACTGGTCTAGGGTTTCTCTCCTCCTTCTCAATCTCTTTCTCAAGTTTGAGTAATCCTGTGATAAGATCTTTATAGGCTAAAACTGGTCTTAAACTATAACTGGTCTAGGTCCTTACCTGTTCTTCTAATAAGGTTGAGACCTTTTTTGCTGAGACTGGTCTAGGGTTTCTCTCCTCCTTCTCAATCTCTTTCTCAAGTTTATAAAGTAATCCTGTGATAAGATCCAGGGAATAATTTTCCCGGTATCGCATCGCAATTCGCGATGTATTTTCAGCCATTTGCGACGCATCTTTTTTCATGAATCGCAATTGCTGCGATGCAAGCGAAACGTACATTTATATACACAGACCGCCAATCCACAAACTACATGTACATACAATGCAGTGCATGCATCAACAATGCACGAGCTATGTACTGTACTCACACACAGACCGCCAATCCACACATTGCATGTACAGCAGGCTAGGCCAGCGCAGCCTGCACTGAACGATATTAGCGTACTACAGTCACTTTCTAACCGTGAAGCTACACACACCTACATAGCGCACTATCGGCGATGAGTGTCTATGGTCACCTTTTAGCCGTGAGTGTTGTTGCGATGCAGACAACAATGCACGCACGTGGTGAACTAATTATATATCCAGGGCAGGCTCAATCACGCTCATGTGCGAGCTAATACTACGTGTTGTTGTTTACCCTCGATACGATTCAAAGTTACTGGATTTATTTGGATTTAAGACTCGACTCGTCTCTGGATTTATTGTTGGACCGATATTTTTGTCATTTTCAAAACATGGTGTCAATTTGTGTAGTTACTGTGGAAGGTTGGATTAAGGATTTAGACCAGAAAAGGGAATGGATCGAGTACGAAGAAAGTGCTGGGAGATTAAACTGCATTAGGTGCAAGATGTGTGTAGCACATCAAGCGAAACTGAGATCGCTACGTAATTTCAACCAGGCATTTATCAATGGAGTTACGGGGTCGGCCCTGAAAAAGGACAATGTTGTGAAACATTCTCGCAGTGAAATGCATAAGAAAGCAATTGCTCTTTCTTCAAGGCCTAAACTGACGCTCGATGCAATCTTCAAGACAACGCCTATAGGGAAAGCGTTAGCTGGAGCATCAAGTGAGGAAGAGAAACGAGTAAGTAAACTCTTTGACATTGCATATGCTATCGCAAAAGAAGAACTGCCTTTTACCAAGTACCCTGTTTTCGTCGAGTTAGAGAAGAAACATGGAGTTCCATTAGGCAACACATACACACATGAAGCAAAGTGCAGTGAGTTTATTGGTGTCATCGGTGATACAATGAAGAGTGAAATGCTCACTGCTTTGAAGGAAGCCCAGTATTTTTCCATCATGGTTGATGGTTCTACAGATGCCAGTGTTAAGGAGCAAGAACTTGTGTATGTTCATTTTGTGAATGATAAAACTGGTGAGGTCCAGTCAAACTTCTTTTGTATTACTGATGTTAAGCATGCTACAGCACAAGGCTTGAAAGATGGGCTGGATGAAATATTCGCTGATGCAGATATGTCACTGAAAGGAAAGTTAGTCTGCGTTTGTGCTGATGGTGCTGCAGTGAACATGGGAGTAAATAAAGGTCTGATTGCTCTTCTACGGAAAGATCATGAAATGCCCTGGTTAATTGGAATGCACTGTCTGAATCACAGATTGGAACTGGCAGCAAAAAATGCCTTTGAGAAAACGTACATGGATGAGATCAGTGAAATGCTTCTGTCCATGTATTATGTATACCAGAAGAGCCCAAAACGCCTGCGAGAGTTAAGGACTCTGGGAGAAGTCATGGAGGAAGTTGTAACTAAGCCAGAGAAGGCTCATGGGACAAGATGGCTACAGCACAAGTCCAGGGCACTTGCCACCCTTCTGCGGTCATATCCAGTCATCATTGCACATCTTGAATCTATGGCCAGTGAATCGTCAGCAGCAGATGGCGCTAGATTTCGTGGATACCTGCAGGTCTTGACTAGCTTCAAGTTTGTGATGCACTGTCTGCTATTCTATGTTATGTTGCAGCCTTTGGCAGCCCTTTCCTGCAATCTCCAGGGAGAGTCAGTGGACCATATGTTTGCCATGGCAAGTCTTGAGTCATTCCACACTTCCATGCAAAACCTTGAATCAGAGCACGAGGACATAGAGGATGCCTCAGAACTGTCAAAGTTCCTCCGTGACATCACCTTTCAAGATGGCAAGGCCGAAGTGGAATACAAGAATGTCAGGCTGATCAACGTGAGAAGCGATGTTTTCACTGCTTTTCAGAACTCTAGAAAGATATATGTTAAGAAGATCAGAGAGTGTGTCGATGCAAGATTCTCTGACTTTAATTCACAGCTTTTCCAAGCATTCAAGGTGTTGGACACTAATGCCTGGCCAAGGGACAAGCCTTCTCTTGACCAGTTTGGTCACAAGGAGCTTAACACAGTGTTTGAGCATTTCAAGGGGTTGCTCCAGGAAGTCCAGCCAGAGTCCATCCAGATGGAATGGAACTCCTTCAAGTCATACTGGAATTCAAGTCTGATGACTTGCAAAGCTCTGATGTTTGGAGAGCATTTGTCAAGGTTTCAACAAGCAAGTACCCCAACCTTGGTCTTCTCATCAGGGTCTTACTCACCTTTCCCATCAGTAATGCCAAGGTGGAGAGGGGATTTAGTACAATGCGCCGAATTAAGACAGACTGGAGATGTAGACTAAATGCTCGCACTCTAGATCATCTCATGAGGATCAGCATCGAGGGACCATCTTCCACTGATTTTAATCCACAATGTGCTGTTAAGAATTTCTTCTGTACACCTCGCAAACCAAATGTGCAACCCTACCTATACCAAGGTAGCAACAAGCGGCCATATCCACTTGATGACTAAAGGTGAGTCCACAGTTACACCAGAATCAATGTACATAACATAAAATGTAGTAAGTATGCATTCATGACCAGATGTTGTGACGTCATTGTTTTTGCACTGTAATTTATAACATGAAAAAAAATTGCTATACAAGTTCATCCAACTGCTATGCAAAAATTATTTTGTGTAGCAGATTTGCTATGCAAATTTTTGGCTGGAAATTATTCCCTGAGATCTTATAGGCTAAAACTGGTCTTAAACTATAAATGGTCTTAGACTAGTATAACTGGTCTTAAAACTATAACTGGTCTAAGTTCTTACCTGTTCATCTAAGGTTGAGACCTTTTTAGCTGAGACTGGTCTAGGGTTTCTCTCCTCCTTCTCAATCTCTTTCTCAAGTTTGAGTAGTCCTGGTGGTTCTATGCCAAGCCTTGATCCAAGGCGAGCTAATTCATAGATAGTCACTAGCACATTCTGCGGTGATCTCCTTAACACTGAAACAAAGAGAGAGAAAATTAGCGATACACACACACACACACAAATAAATATAGATGCAGTCACAATAACATGTTCATGAAAGTAAACAAAGTGATCACAAACTGAATATAATTTGAACAGCTAAAAACAACAAAAGACAGATCTGAAAATAACCATTGGTATTTTGCTTCAAATTTCTCTCCTTTATATTAATCACAAATGAATATCCAAAACGTAAAATGTTATCTTGTGTATTTACATTAATTCTTCCTAGGTATCTTCCTAGAATTTTAATGAAAAGAAAACGAGAAAACAAAAACCACAGCAAAGAAATTTTGGTTGATTTTAACCTAGCACTGTTTTCTCAGAACAATATATGTAGAGCGCCTAGAACAATTAGTATTAAGCACTATATAAATATTGCTATCATTATTTATTATTATGTACAGTGACAGTGTATGTATATGCTGTAGTTAAAGTAAATAGCGATGATAGAAAACCATATTCTTACTGCATTACACGTTACTTTTGCTTAAATATTTAGAAAAATTACCCATACACCTCACACTACACAAACTTATATTGAATAGCAATTGAGATGATGTACAGTATATGGAATGGAATGGAATTCAAGTGCTGCAAACAGCCTGAAATGTGTACACTTTTCCCCAGTAATGAACTTTTAAATTCTCTTGTTATATGAACAATATACATATAAATCATGGAGGGAATCCATCTTGTGAATTCATTGCTGCTATGCCAGACAAGCCTTAAGGTTCAGACTTTTAATGATAATTTTATTTACAGGAATGACATGTGTACATGTATGAATACAAGTAAACTAGTCTATTAGACATTGTTCATGACGACACTGCCTTTGTTGTATACTTTCAATGACTAACAATCAATACACACAAGGCCATTACCTCACAATAGAATACAGTGCGATACACCCACAGAATGGTCACACCTGACTGAATGAGTGTATAAACACATCCCACATTCATCTTTTTACAATGCCATTCAATCTAAATTCAAACTAGGACTTCTACAATGCATGACTAGTGAATAAATTGTGCAGCTGTAAACAATAGCAATTGTATGTATGTGTTGTTTCCTTAAAGTATGCCAATCACTGAAACATATTTTGCTCTTGGTGTATTAAAGGCATTCCATATATATATACAGTATATTGCTTCAAAATATGAGCATTAGATTAGGCCCAAGTCATTATGGGTTTTGCAGAACCAGAGTTTTTTCGGGAGAAAATAAAATTATTTAGAGGAACAGCTACAAGTTTGTTTTTTAAACATATTTGTGGCTTACACCCAGTAAATAAGATTGATTGATCGATCTGTATTGAAAAACAAGTCAGAAAAAATCTTTGAACCAGCGGGACTGGATTTACTGGGTGTAAGCCACAAATATGTTTAAATAATTGAAATTTCTCCCAGGAAGCATTACATTTATAACAGTTTGTTTTTGTTTCTAATATTAAGGAATGCAGGAAGGAGTCACGCTTCGCGGTACCGACCGCATTCAGGAACGGATGTCAGAATTAACTCACTGAAGACTGAGCAAGTTACGCTCGTACCACAGACAAGACCAAAACACTGATTAGACTATTGAAATCAAAATGTAAAAGGCATTAATTAAATAATTAATTGGAATATGATCTATGATCTATAATACCCTTGAAATTCAGATATATTCTCTTACCTAGACCATCAGTTTCAAAGAGACAGGTATCTTCTAATCCAAGCTCACGACACCAAGACAAAAATGTTGCAATGTTATCACGTGCAAAGAATGATTCTGACGTGGCGTTCTCTCGACATTTTATTTTTCCTTGTGGAACATTCTGTGAAACAACAACAATTTCAAAATGTACTATGTGAAAACAAAGTTTTCTATAATATTTCATAAAATTTTGAATAAAAAGTATAATCTGACATCACTCGTTGCTTTATAAACTAACATACAATATCCTCTACAATATGACAATAACCTGATCATTGTACATACATGTATTTAAATAAATTTTGTAACAAATACTTACATCTTTGAGTTGATGGCCTGCTTTTTGACATTCTACGGCTTTGCGTTGTACTAATTGAGCAAGCTTACATAGTAGTACGCCATTGTCTAATGAGTCCATAAATGTGTCAACTTCAACACTAACATCTGAAAGAAAAGTAGATAGTATTAGGATTCAATACATAACTGAACAATATAATACAAACATTGTAGAAGAACAATGACACTTAATTGTATCAATGCTCCCCTAAAATTCTTTAAATTTGGTTTCTAATCTAGAAATTTCAAGTGCTGTTACAGTTATACCCTGCAATCAGGGAACATGTACAGTATTCAGTGCAGAAGTACAGAATAGTGTTTTTTTAAATGCTTGTAAACTTAAAGTTCTGAATAATATATGGAAATGAAAAAGTACAATTTCTATTATAACTGTTCAATTAATAGTTTCTGACTTGACAACAATAAATATAAACCTGACATTTGAAAATTAAAGGAAAATATGTATGTTTCTTTCTTGTTTGTAAATTGCATTCTCCTGGCCCTATCTTTTTACTTTAATTCTTTAACTTGTTTTTTTAATTAGTTTTAAAATGTGAATGCTACAAAGTGTACATGAGTTGGGGAGAGGGTTGGGAAGGCTTAGGTATTTTAAGTCAAGTTAAGTTAAGTACATATTGCTCACTCTATTGAATTTGGGGGAGGGGCAATGTGATTGACATGGATTGTATTTTTAATGGTACATTGTATTAAATTAAATTAATTTCAATTCAACATATAGATCTACAATGTATACATGTACCTAACACCCTTGAGAGCCATTCTGCCAAGTCTTCTGTGAGAGGTATCAAACTCTTCTGGGCACTTTTGTTGATCTCTTTAGAGTACGATAATGAGTCACCAGTTCCACACTCATTAGCCATGCTATCATCATTGCTTCCAATCTAAAATGAAATACCATAGGACAAATAAATCATCAACATTTTCATTTTCATCACCACATCAAACTAAATTCATAAAAATGCGCCACTCCCCCCCCCCCCCCCTCAAAAAAAAAAACATGAAAGGAAGTGATTATTATTTCACACAATTCATAAAAATGGAAAAATATTTAGGATGGTTAGTGGACTCTACATTTCATTAAATCCGAAGGCAGTTACAGGCAGCTTCCCTTACAGTAATCATTTGTCCTTGAAATTGAATTAAGTCACTGACATTTTAAATAATGTGACAATGAATGTTGAATGTTCACATCTTCATAACATAGAAGTTCAACTTCATGCCAGCATTGCAAGTCTGGTCAGGTTAGAATTCTCAGTACTTCTAAGTAAGGAATAGGGTCTAGAGGGTCTATATATTATAGATCTAGATTCACATCATTTAAAGGCCCACTGCCCTACTCGTAGCTACTTGCGCCCTCTATATAACAAACAATGCCTTATCGGTGACCATTGGTCCCCCATGATCCTCTTTTTCCTATGTTAACTGAGAGATAACCACCTGTCCAGTGACCTTGCAGGGCAGTCTAATCCCTCCTGTAAACTACGGCAGATAAGCTTTAATTACCTTCATAAACGAAGGAAAGATCATTGTGGTAGACTCTCACTTTCGTTATATCTAGGCTATAATTTCATTTTCCCTGAAAGACACTGATAGTCGATCTACATATAAACAGAGAAACACGCACCGTCGGATCGTCTGCTACGGACGTGCCTCCTCCGAGCTCCGGTGTTCGATCGAATTGAATTGAATCTTCAACTGACACCAAATTTACTCAATTTTCTTTTTGGATTGCCAGCCCCAGTCTATTTGGAATATACATTTTGTGAATTCACCACTACTACTCTTCGGAATTTCATTTGTGGAATATATCAAAATTGTTTCTCTGATTGTCGGAAACCACGCTCAATTTCGTATTTGGCGCCAAATATATCACGTGACCAAGCGATTGGTCTCGGTGAAAGGAAACCAATTATCTTTTTCCGACCTAACTCCGTATAGTATTTGAATTGTTTTTGTGTATTGGGATTGCCAGCAAGAGGTAAGCAATATTTTCGGGCATTTTTCTGCACTGCACTGTATGCTACATTAACCAAAATAACTAACTTGGAAGCAATTAACACCCATTCCTGAAGGCCGCCTGATATGGCGGCCTACAACCCCCTTAACCCCATAAGATATTTCTCATCAGAGATAGAAGGTGACACAGAAGAGGAGGCATACAATAATAGCTTCATCCCCGTAGAAAAGAAAAATGCAAAGAAACACCCTAGGAGAGCTCGGCCACGAGAAGACAGCCACAGTATAGAAAGTTTAAAGGCACAGTCGGGGTCGGATAGCGATAGCCCCATATTTCAAGAAGCCCGACCCGACCCACATCAATCTTCCACAACCCAAGATGAATTAAAAGTACTACTCATCCCAATTGAATCAACAAAAAACCTAGGACACGTGAACCCCATAAAAATAGCAAAAGAAATAGAGAAATGTGCAGGACCCACCAAAATAGAATTTGTTAAAAGAATCCAAAACGGTTTATTGATCAAATGTCAGAACATAAAACAACATAAGGCAATCTCAAACATATCGGAAATAGGCGGTATCCCAGTTAAGGTAAAAGAACGATCAAAAACAGTAAAAGGAGTAATAACAGGAGTTCATCCAGATATTACAGAAGAAGAAATCACTGAAGCGCTCAAAATCTACAAATGCGCAAATGCTAAAAGAATCACGAGGAAAATAAAGAAAAACCACCCTGAAACCAAGAGCAGTTCGTCAACCGAAACCCCTAACCCTACCGACATGCCCACCAAAGCAGTCATCCTATCCTTTGAAAGTAAAACGATACCAAAACAAATCATACTATTCTATCAGGAATTTAAAGTAAAAGAATTCATCCCCCCTGTCCCCAGATGTTTCAAATGTCAACGCATGGGACATGTAATTTCGCAATGCAATAGCAAGCAAAGATGCGTCAGGTGTGGAGAAGACCACCCTTTCGACCAATGTCCCAGAAAATCTAATCCCTTTTGTGTTAACTGCAAAGGAAACCACTCAGCAGCATTCAAAGGATGCATCGAAGCCAAAAACGCAAGAATTGTCCAAGAAATCCGCTTGGAAAAGAAAATAAGTTATGCCGAAGCCACGAAACATTTCAAAGAGGCAACAAAAGTAGAGGAAAAAACTAACTCTAAGGAATCGAGCACAAACGGCAATAGTAAAGTACCCACAAACAAAGAAAAGAAAGAAACAAAGAGTAAAACAATTCCCACACAAAGCAGACCAAATACAGACCCTACACAACACATTGAAATAGAAAACAATCAAAGCGAAAGTTTTATTACCCCCTCCGTATTTGTAGAACAGGGGAGAATTCAACATTCCAACAGCGGTGGTCACGGTAAACCCAACATCATTACCACAGTCAAGAACACTGATCTCCCAGGGAGAAGTCACATCTCCCTGGATCTCCTAATGTTTCTTTTCCGCGTCATAGAAATAATGCAACAAGACATCCCACAAACACAAAAGATGAACAAATTTCTCGCAGAAGCCCAGACATGTCTCAATATATTACCTGAAGAGCTAGAAATAATGAAACACCATGGAGAACATAATTAAAATTCTCCTTTTCATGGCGGCACTATCCATACTACAATGGAATGCCCAAGGTCTCCAAGGGGGGCACGGGGACGAACTAGTTCAATTGCTACTGTCACGCAGGAATAACCCTTACCATATATTGTGCATTCAAGAAACGTGGTTTACAGAAAATAATATATTACAAATACCAAATTATACATGTATACCACGCAACAGAAAAACCGGAGTGAGAGGCGGATGCGCCATTTACGTACACAACTCTGTATATTTCAAAAATATAACACTCCATAATACCTTTGAATTGCAAACTATTCAACTGCACCTCAAAACTTCCTGCATGACAGTAGTAAATTATTACAATCCATGTCAGCGATTAGACATAGATACCCTTAAGGCCATCATCCCAGAATATGCTACCCCAAAGTACATGCTAATCCTAGGAGACTTTAACAGCCACAACTCATTATGGGGCAGTAACACTACCGATGTAAATGGCCGCATCATAGAAGAATTTATTGAAAATAAAAATATTATAATACTAAACGATGGATCAGGTACGAGAATGGATCACCATACGGGAAAATTATCCTGTCTAGACCTAAGCTTAGCAACACCCTCCATAGCTAATAGATGTCAGTGGAATGTAAAGCAAGATAAGTTAGGAAGTGATCACTTCCCTATAGAAATACAAATCAATCTACATCCTGTAGAAGAAATACATGAAAGAGAATATACAAAACGAAACGAACCATATCTTAGTTACAAAAAAGCAGACTGGAAAGCATTTGAACAATTATGCGACACAGAACTATCCAATATAACTCCAAATGAAAACACAGAAGAATACTACAACGAATTCATAAACGTCACAAAGAAAATTATGAAGGAAACCATACCAACAGTAACAAAAAAACATAAACCACACAATCCATGGTGGAATGAAGACTGCCAAAAGAGAATTAAAGAACGAAACAAAGCCAAAAATAAAGCCATCAAATACATGACGAAAGATTATCTCTACGAATACCTAAATAAGAAAGCCCTTGCACAGAAGACAATAAGAGAAGCAAAAAGACAACATTGGAACAAATACTGCTCCAGGCTTAATAGATTCACTCCGACTTCAGAAATTTGGAAAATGATAAAAAGATACAACAATATCATACCAAAAAAAGAATGCTTACCAACACTAAAAGAAAATGATATAGAATATATTACCGATCAGGAAAAGGTCAACAAGATAGCTGAAGATTATACTTACGTAACTAAACACAAAGTTGACCCTAGCTCCCAACTGTACACTCACGTAGCAAATAATATAGAGAAAATTAAAAATAAAGAACCAGAAAATTTTCCCTCAGTCCTAAACGACAATTTCACACTATCAGAATTAGAAGCAGCAATCGAACGTCAAAATTCCTCCTCTACCCCCGGACACGATAAGATTAAATATTTAATATACCAAAAACTCACGAAATCAGCAAAACAGACCATGCTAAATTTGATAAATCAAATTTGGAGCTCGGGGCAAATTCCAAGGCAATGTAAACACTCAATTATTATCCCAATCAAAAAACCTAACAAAGAACCTCATAAAGTATCATCGTATAGACCAATTGCACTCACAGCTTGTTTCATCAAAATCATGGAAGGAATGGTGAATGTAAGACTACAGTGGTTCATCGAAAAACAGGAAATACTCCCTTCATTCCAAATAGGATTTAGAAAGAATAGAAGCACTACAGATAGTATCGTCAGTTTAGAAAATGAAATACAGAAAAACATAGCCATTAAACAGCATACAGTCGCCATTTTTCTCGACATAGAAAAAGCTTATGATACACTTTGGGTAGACGGATTGATATCAAATCTTTATGATATAGGTATACGAGGTAAAACACTAAACTTTATAAACGATTCTCTAAGAAATAGAACATTCCAGGTAAAAATAGAAAATACACTGTCGCACATAAACAACACAGAAAACGGTCTATCGCAAGGTAGTACCATAAGTCCAATCCTGTTCAACCTTATGCTCTGTCAAATTCCCACAACCCCCTCAGTCTCCATATCTTTATACGCAGATGATTGCGCCATTTGGACTTCAGGACCTAACATTAATTTTATAGTAAATAGAATTCAAAATTGCTTAAACAACCTACAAATTTGGTTCGAGCAAAGGGGCTTTAATCTCTCCGAAAATAAAAGTACCCCGGTGCTCTTCAGCAATAGCAACAGAACAAACCTCCCCGTAATAAAACTTAAAGAAAAAGAACTGCAATTCCAAGCAAATCATAAATTTCTTGGCGTCACGTTTGATAAAAAATTAACATGGAATACCCATATACAAGATATCAGAAACAGATGTAGAAAAAAAATTAATATCCTGAAAAGCGTCGCTCATACAAGTTGGGGAAGTAACACAAAAACATTACTGATGCTATATCGATCTTTAATAAGATCAATGCTAGACTACGGGTGCGAGGCATATGACTCAGCAAGCGAAAGCTCCAAAAAAGTTTTAAACACTATGCAATACATGTCCCTACGTATATGTGCAGGTGCTTTACACGGCACATCCCTCGCCGCCCTACAGGTGGAAATGGACGAGCCCCCTCTTGAGTTAAGAAGGAAAATGCTGACAGAAAAGTATCACGTCCATCTTTCCCGTGTGACAAACCACCCATTAAAACCAAACATCCAACCATGTTGGCAATTTGAAAAGTTAAAGAATAAAAAAGTGAGACAACCTTTTGGTTTGAGAATAAAAATGAAAAAATAATAGACTCAATTACAGAAAAAGTCATACCACTTCCTATCCCCCCCTGGCACAACTACACTCCCCAAATATCCATTGAACTAACTGAATCAATAAGAAAAAATGATAACCCGAGTGAAATGAGACTAAGAAGCATAGAACTCATAAAATCAAAATGGAATAACAGCCTTCATATATATACGGATGGCTCAAAATCCCCATCAGGCACAGCAGCTGCGTCCTTTTTTGTCCCACATTTTTCAATAAGACAATCTAAACGTCTTACAGACCATACCTCAAGCTACCGAGCAGAGTTAGCAGCAATAACAATTGCCCTATTATGGGTTGAACAACTAAACCTGCACGCAGGGGTTGTGATATTCACAGACTCCCTCAGCGCACTCCTCTCAATGCAATCAATGAAAGGAGATAAGTCAGATAACTTCATAAACGACATCAAGTATATATACACAAGACTGGCATACAAAGGCATTCAAGTCCATCTAGAATGGATCCCCTCTCACTGTGGAATACAGGGAAACGAAATAGCGGACCTTCTCGCAAAACAAGCCCTAACTGAAGAAATACAAATAAATAACAAGCTATGTTTGTCTGAAATGAAAGCAGTATTGAAAATAGAACTATACAAGAGTTGGGAAGAAACATGGCAAAATTACAATAAAACAAACGTAAGACCTTTCAAACCAACAATTCAACATAACTTTGAGAGCACCCTTTTTAGAGACTGCGAAGTCATAATTCGTAGGCTCAGACTTTGCAACATAGGACTAAACGCAGACCCCTCAAAAGTATGGGTATCCCAAACAACCCAACCTGGCCAAGCCAACAAAAATTGTAAATACTGTAACACCCCTGAAACAATAACACACTATCTGATGGAATGTCCAACATATACAATAGAAAGAGCAATGCTGATAATGGAAAGTGATATAACGAGCCCAAACGAAATTATGAAACTCCTAAAATCAACAGAAAGTGCGACCCAGAGAGCACTGATCCGCTTCGTTCGTAGAACGAGGCGTTTTGAGTGTTCCTAATTTTTTTTTTTTTTTTTTTTTTTTTTTTTTCTTTTTTTTTTTTTTTTTTTTTTTTTTGCACATATCGCACGACAACCAAATGCCCTAAGATGTTGATACCTACTTTGATAGAAAAATAAGGTTTTACAAAATGGAAAAATACTAGAAGAGAAAAGGTAAGAAAGAGTAAAGACGGATTGAGGATGGTAAACCCCAAACAAGAGACTCTGGAGATCTACCCCAGAATCCTCTCACCGGCACCAGAGTTGCCTAGGCCAATGATGGCCGAGAAGATTGCGCAATGTACCGCGCCGGTCTGGCAGGAAGGTGCCAATTGCGGTGAGGGGTTTTCATGGACCAGTAGATCTGAGATTATATTATCCAAAAAAAAAAAAAGAGATGAGTAGACTATGAATTTACAAATAGTACCAAAATATAGAAGAAAAAAAAGAAAGAAATAAAGTGAAAGGCGTAAATATTCTAAAAAAGAATGAAACGCCGATAATACCAAACAACAACAACAACAACGACAGACTGAAGTGCCACCTGTAACCTGTTCAAATACGGTGCCCGTGAAATGGCACGGTCATCCACGCAACAGGTCGCCGATGCTGCGAGTATGCGATCCCTGCGGGTTGCTATGCCTGCCTCCTGCTAATTTATAATGCAAGTATTACGATAATTTTCGATGTAAACATTACTTATGAGGCGCATAATGTCGCAATAATCTTAAAGCAATTCTACAGTACGGTTAAAATCGTCAGATTTAAAACCTACCTCTAATTAGAAGCATACAAACGGAGTTTCCAAGTCGTGTGTCAGCAGCGCATGTCAATCAAGTTGTCAACAAAAACAGTCAATGTCAGAAATCTAGATATCGCGGTAGCGCTCGGTATCGATATTGCAATAAAATTGTTCAAGCATGCACAGGATGTAGGATTTTGTTTTCCTGTCGTCGTGATGAAATGCAAGGAGAGATATTATATTAGAACATCCTCTATTAAGGATATTAAGGATTTCAACAAGGGGTGCGCGGTCATTCAAGAACAGAACAATTAAATAAACAACAACAGAAAGGGTGAAATCGGGTGAAATCCAAGTTGCCTTTCTTTTACCACCCCCCCCCCCCAGCCCCCCTTGGGCAATCTTCCTCTGATAAAATTAACCAGCATAGCATCTTCATACAGTATACCATTCTCTCTCTCTCTCTCCCCTGGCCTCCCCCCCCCCCTCTCTCTCTCTCTTTGTTTCTCAAACTTTCTCCTCCCCCCCCCCCCCCCCTCCCCATTCTTCTCACTTATGAATTAATAAATATTGAAACGCAAGATTGATTACACGGTCATGGCATACACCTGAGCAAAGTTGTTGCAAAAGTGATTTATCTATAGTCCCGTTGCTTGGAGGCCATAAAGGCAAAAATTAGAAAAAGGTTCTCCATATAAATTGTCTTTAGCTGTTCTAGCTAGTTTGCAACCCTATAGACATAATTGTTTCAATAAAGGACACCGTAAACACACATTGCTATTATTTTATACATGATTTATAAATCTTTAGATACATTTCAACAACATAACTTCAATTAAAGAACAAAGATAAAAGACTTAAGCCTACAAAGAAAATATTTTACTATGTTACATGTATATATTTCTATGATACAAATAGGTTAGAAAGCTTACACATTCTTTCTACAATTTTTTTAAATTTTCTTATCTATCAAGCTCTACCATCATAATTTGTGATAAATTCTCCTCTTTTTTGGTAATCATTCCAGAAATCTGAATGCAAAAGCTAGAATTTTGATTTCTGCTCTTGTCATTGCATTTCCAAAGAACTGACTTTAACTAATTCTTATATTTTATGTCGCACAGTATTGTACATGGGATGTTTGTTTGCTATTAAAGATCTCTACTACTACAATTCATTTTTGCACTAAAATTGCTTGTCTCGTTTTGGAACTCTTTATTTTCTATCTGTACAACTCAAGATTATTTAGTATTATTTTTCTTATGATCATTAAAGGGATAGTTGAGTTCTGTTTTCAGACCGCAAAATCGCAAATGCCTCCAAAGTGCATGGTTATTGCTCTTATTCTAATCTATGACATTTCTAGTGCCCTTTTACGACCTAAAATTGCTATGAAGGTAATTTTAGACCCCAAAATGTGTGAAATTTTGCCAATACGATCATACCAATTCAACTCAACTTTGCAAAAAATATGGTGACCGTTTAATTAATAATAACAATACATGGGCCGGCTGGTTGTGCGTGATATACCCAACACGAAAAAGCCAACATCGGTATTGGCTGAAAATACAACGTAAAAGGCGCTATTTCGTTTTTTCAACTGCTTTTTCAAATTATTGAATATTTGTGGTGGTACACAAATATTAGAAATTGTTATATTTATGGATATTTCAGCCGTCTCTGAACAGATTTTGATCAAACAAAGATGATTTTGTAATTTAAATTGTATGTTCTTTCAAATTTGACACTCGGTTTTTCATTATCTCACAAAAAAGTTATTTTGTCTAGCGCCCTCTGCAACAGAACTCAACTATCCCTTTAAGGATAGAACTACAAATGTACGATACAAATTGGCGACACTTTCATGGCAATGGGTATATTTTTGTAAAATGCAGCAGAAAGAATGCCACCTATCTGTAAAAAAAATAAAAAAATAAAAAAAATGAAATTACATTTCAATTTTCCTAACATTATCAGGACCTTGATAATGTTATAATCGCACAGATTAAGAAATGGTACCCCATTTATTATTCTAAATAATGGAACAAAAATGAGAGGCAATACTATCAATGGGTTAATATAAAACCCTGCGAATAGTGGCACCTGGAACCCAAGTACAGTTCATTTCTCATACCATAATCAATTTCTTTAACAGTGTTTTTCAAATTGATTATAATTATAAGTGACAATATTATAAAACATATGGTTTTGTAATCAATTATTCATATAAAAGTCACAATTTACAAATAGCTAACAACTATTTACATGTAAATAGATTTCAACAGGTACATACAGATGCAAACTGTATGTACAGGTACATTGTTTAAAAAAATCCCCTCATCCCTTTCATTAAATGGGTACCAAAGTAAAACTCCCTTTGCCAACAAAACAGAAGAAAGGTGGATCCTCATAGTCAAATGGCCACAAAGGCCACAGCTTGCCCCCTCCCACCCCCTCATTTTGGAAAGGTCTGATGTCAAGTTGGATCTCATCGAAAAGATATTTCTTTTTTTATAGCAGAGCGCTAGGTTCATACCGAGTTGCATGAATGATTTTCAAAAATATTCTTCATCAACAGGTCATAAAAAAACTTTTAAATGTTTATTACATGCTCATGATGCTCTATGTATATTTCTATCAGGATTATCATTATAAACCACAATCTCTCTGCAGCTATATTAACAAAGTAGAAGGCGAAACCTCTCCTCAATACAGCAAGTTATGAAGAGAACTAAATCTATAAGGAATATCTCTCCTTTTTTAAGCTAAGGCAATGTCTCTTTCATTTTCCAGAGTGTTTTTTAGACTTGTTATGTAAAGTCCATTCTCTCCTAAGGTTTTCAAGCCTTGCAGATCAGCATCAGTGTCTTTTACACTAGGGTATGACAAGATTTGGTTGAAGGATCGAAAGTCTACTCTCTCCTAAGATTGTCCAGCCTTGCTTGTAGATCAGCATCGGCATCACTTAAACCATCAGCTTGAGCGACCTTGCCCGTTTCCTTGCTCTTGGTATTAAGCGCTCCTCCAGTTGAGGGGATACCTGCAAAGTAATTTTAAAACAATATCTTTGGTTATAAGAATATTGTTCTGCATCACATTTTCTGTGGGCAATTTCTTGTAGCTCCTCCAGGAGAATGAAACAGTAAATGGCTACCTTGTTTGGTTGTGACTTCATACTTGCTTTCAAGTTTTTTAGTGTAGATTGCTAGGGAAACCTTATTTCGCATAACATTATAAACAGTATAGTTAAAAGAACTTTGCACAGTCAAGCCATTCCAAAACTAAAATGTGATTTCATGTACTGTATGAAAGGAGTGACAACAATATTTCATACAGCACCATATACAGGTGTCTCATTTCATTTTGCAATTATTTTGTTCATTTGATTCTGCACTTAGATTGGAATTCAAGCCAGTTACCATTTTATACATAATAATAATAATCTTAATTACAATGATAATGATAATAACAACAACAATATTCATAATAATAATAATAATATTTTCATGAAATTATAAAAAACTTTAATATTTCATAACTTTCTAATTTTTTTCGACTAATTTTGATGAACTCTCACAGTTCTGTTTGTTTAATTTTTCTCTGTTTATTCAAATCAACTTGAAAATGGGGTCAGAATTCATCTTAAATATGTCTTAAAGGGAGTCACTCATCAGTTTTCATGTGCAGAAGGCCATATTTCGCTGACACCAGACTTGGTGGATAATAAAAAATCATTAACGTGTGTACAGGTATAAGGTCTGCACACAGCGAACGCGTAGGCCAATCGAAAAATACCCCCTCGTCTCTCGAGAGTGCTCGAGATTGTTCGGGTGCGGGGAAAAGTGAGATAATGACTTTACCATGTGGGGGAATGGGTGGAAAACGCAGTACGTTACATAAGGCCTGGTGGTCATAAAACTGAAGGCTAAATCTGGTGATTGACAGCACTTCTTATTGGGTAAACACCCGAACGGTGTTGAATTCCCCATGAGAGCTAACTACTATGTGTCTTTAAATTAAGGGTAAAATACTGGCTAAATACTTCAAATGAATACCAAATAATTTTATTGAAGCCAAAAGCTATTGCACTGAATATTGGCCCTTGGCCCTGTTACATAAAACTTCCAATGAATTACAAAAGCTAAATTTCTATGGAAAATTTGATGTCAGCCAAACAAATGCCACGACTCCAGTAGCTTATAACAGTTATCGTAACTTTTTATTGATAAGAAGTTTTACGACTCAGGGTCCTGATGTACAAGTAAAGAAAGAATTTGCAATACGTACCAACTAGATCGTCTGTCAATGAAAGACCAAGTTCGTCAAGCACTTGAGATACAATGACATCACTGTAACAAAACAAAACAAAATAAACAGTTCCATGATTGATTAACAAAAACATTCAATGGAAATCATTTGAGTGCTGAATTAAGTAACAATATGTTGGTTGCTTTGTTAGTTCGTTTAACCTGACTGCTGAGAAAGCACGTGTATATAATAATTATAATAGAGAATATTTATTAAGCGCATAATAAATAGAAAATTTTTCTATGGCTTTACAATCATTTGAATATATAAACAGCATAATAAATAACAAAATAGATAAGCAAATTAAAAAATATATAAATGCTTGTTTGTAAGCAATCAGGGGACCGATGACTTTAACTTAGTCCTCTCTGATGGACTTGGTAATGAGAAGTAATGTCTTAACAAAGGGCACTAGCGTATTGACTTACTTTCAAACCTAGGGCCTGTTGGCAAATCCCATTAGCGAATTTGCATTAAAAACAAAACGACTGCATACAAACGGTCAATTAATTTTTTAAATAATTTTGACAAGCAGTAAGACAAGGACAAGGGCATAAATCCCATTATTATACAAATAATACACAAGTGTGAGTGCTTTATGGTCAATGCAGCGCATGAGGATATTCACTATGGTGCAATAAAATTCACGACAAATAGCCAAGTGTATTTTGTGCCATTGTGAATACCTGAATAGCGCTGCATTGCCATATATTAATGTCACAAAAAAAAATATATTATTTGTTTCATAAAATGTATCAGCAATCTTACTAATAGCAAGGCCATAAAATGTCCCCCTGCAACCTTCATCCACGGTTGCTATCACCAAAATGCACCCCATGCAGATGGTACCGTGCATATAATTAAAACTTAATGCCAGTCACGTGATCCATTTTGACGCTTCTCATTGGCTACATTCTTGAACCCATTTTATAAAAACATATAAAGCATAAGTAAGTTTTGGGTAAACCTTTATAAAACAATACAATATGAATATAAGAACTGAAGAGACCATCAGACTTATCATTATTGATAAATAATCCATAAGAATTATAATTGTGTGATGTGTTCTAACCTCTCTTCTTCATCGTCATCTCCTTCCATGACATCATCGATTGCATCATTCATCATCTCTTCCTTCATATCCATGATCTCAGACTCACGCTCAAACTCCATCATTATCTTCTGGATCTGAGGTAACTTCATCTGTTGGAAGAAGAAAAGAACATCTTTAAAGGTTAATCGTCATCATTATTTATTTGATCCATCATTATCTTCTGAATCTTAGGTAACATCATCTGTTGGAAGAAGAAAAGAACAGCTTTAAAGATTAATCATCATTATTTATATGATCCATTATTATCTTCTGGATCTGAGGTAACTTCATCTGTTGGAAGGAGAAAAGAACAGCGTTTAAGATTCATCATCATCATTATTTATTTGATCCATCATTATCTTCTGGATCTGAGGTAAATTCATCTGTTGGAAGAAGAAAAGAACAGCTTTAAATATTAATCATCATTATTTATTTGATCCATCATTATCTTCTGGATCTGAGGTAACTTCATCTGTTGGAAGAAGAAAAGAACAGGGTTTAAGATTCATCATCATCATTATTTATTTGATCCATCTTATCTTCTGAATCTGAGGTAAATTCATCTGTTGGAAGAAGAAAAGAACAGCTTAGAAGATTCATCATCATCATTATTTATTTGATCCTTCATTATCTTCTGGATCTGAGGTAACTTCATCAGTTGGAAAAAGAACAGAACAGCTTAGAAGATTCATCATCATCATTATTTATTTGATCCATCCTTATCTTCTGGATCTGAGGTAACTTCATCTGTTGGAAGGAGAAAAGAACAGCGTTTAAGATTCATCATCATCATTATTTATTTGATCCATCATTATCTTCTGAATCTGAGGTAATTTCATCTGTTGGAAGAAGAAAAGAACAGCTTAGAAGATTCATCATCATCATTATTTATTTGATCCATCCTTATCTTCTGGATCTGAGGTAACTTCATCTGTTGGAAGGAGAAAAGAACAGCGTTTAAGATTCATCATCATCATTATTTATTTGATCCATCATTATCTTCTAGATCTGAGGTAAATTCATCTGTTGGAAGAAGAAAAGAACAGCTTTAAAGATTAATCATCATTATTTATTTGATCCATCATTATCTTCTGGATCTGAGGTAACTTCATCTGTTGGAAGAAGAAAAGAACAGCTTAGAAGATTCATCATCATCATTATTTATTTGATCCATCCTTATCTTCTGGATCTGAGGTAACTTCATCTGTTGGAAGGAGAAAAGAACAGCGTTTAAGATTCATTATCATCATTATTTATTTGATCCATCATTATCTTCTGGATCTGAGATAACTTCATCTGTTGGAAGAAAAAGAGAACAGGGTTTAAGATTCATCATCATCATTATTTATTTGATCCATCATTATCTTCTAGATCTGAGGTAAATTCATCTGTTGGAAGAAGAAAAGAACATCTTTAAAGGTTAATCGTCATCATTATTTATTTGATCCATCATTATCTTCTGAATCTTAGATAACATCATCTGTTGGAAGAAGAAAAGAACAGCTTTAAAGATTAATCATCATTATTTATTTGATCCATCATTATCTTCTGGATCTGAGGTAAATTCATCTGTTGGAAGAAGAAAAGAACAGCTTAGAAGATTCATCATCATCATCATTATTTATTTGATCCATCATTATCTTCTGGATCTGAGGTAACTTCATCTGTTGGAAGGAGAAAAGAACAGTGTTTAAGATTCCTCATCATCATCATTTATTTGATCCATCATTATCTTCTGGATCTGAGATAGCTTCATCTGTTGGAAGAAGAAAAGAACAGTTTGAAGATTCATCATCATCATTATTTGTTTGACCTACCATGGAAATAGTAATAGTCCTCATACTACGCAATCTTCTATCGTTAGTTGTTATAATACCCCGAAGTCTTACAGTGATAGGTTTGAATTTGAAAATTACATGTAAGTAAAAAAGCTGCTGGTTTGAATTTGAAATCACATGTTTTAAAATCAGTGACAGGTTAAAAGTCTTTCTCAACCAAACTTATTTCTGAAATATTAGTCAGAATATTTGCTTGAAAATGCTCTAAAATATGGCGCAAATTGCAACAGAGGGCATTTGAAAACCTTATAGAGCCCTTAGTGGGCCAAGGCAACAAGAGATGTACTATACGCTTCGCACACATCAGTTCATATTCCTTCCAACTTTCAATTTTAAAGCCCCACTGCACTACTTATAGCTACTTGCGCCCTCTATAAAGCAAACAATGAGTAATAGGTGACCACTGGTCCCCCCTGATCCCCTTTTTCTTATGTTAATTGAGAGCTGATTTGATGAGATAACCACCTGTCAGTGACCACACAGGGAGGTCTAATCCCTCCTGGCCAAACTAGTACAGACAGGCTTTAAATGTTTGAATTTTTGTGTGTAGACCACCCTATTAATTCTGATCTTACCTTTGTGTTCATTGTTTTTCAATGCCTTGGATACTCCTTTCATTGCATTCGCCATTGCATTCTGAGATCTCAACGTCTGTACTTTTAACGAGACAGCTTGAATGTTTGCTTTCATTAAGATGAATCTCTTGATAAAGTTCCTTGTTCTAACCAAGTCCTTGGCCATGATCTTCACTGCATCCTGAGAAAAGAAAAGTAAAGATGCATTAGAAACATGAATAAACAGATGTTTCATAATTATACAGGAGTAAGAAGGGCCTAACTCTATCAAATTTGTTTTTCTTTTTTTTCTGGTAATTGTTTTTTTTTTATCAAAGAAAGCAATTACCACACGTGTATATTGATCCATTTAGGAGACAGCAAGTTTCAGGGAACCTGTAATACATTGCTACATACATTTTAAAGGTAAAGATCAGTTCTGGTCATGCAATTGCATTGTGAAAGAAATGCTGTGGAATCGATCAGAAAAGGTTGATCATCTACATGTAGTATATAATTATTGGTGTGTACTGCAAGGTTCTGGATTCTGGAATCATCAAAATGATAAGAAATTTGGCCCAGTCTTGCTAAAGTTACAAGCACTGTACAAAGAAAGATGTATATGGGACTACGAGACACATGGGTGACACGTGCGCGATATCTATCTGGTCCAAATAGATATAATAATTTACCAAATATATCAATTAGTAGGTGGTTTCTCAGCAAAATTTGTATCATCATGTACAGTATTAGTCAAAACATATTCTTTCACATGATTGGTAATTGAGCTTCCATTTCATTTTTTGAGAGGGAGGCGTTTCCAAAACTGGTCTTTACTTTTAACGTGCATTGTTGCAAGATTTACTACATTGCCTCTTAACTTTTTATCCGCCACACAAATAATCCCCCTGTGCAAGGCTGTGCCACATCATACCATATTTATCATGAATTTCTCCAATTCATTGATGAATCAATTCTCTTCATTTATTTTCCTTAATGATTTTCTTTCCTACCATCTGTCCTTGTTTGGCCATCTTCTTGATTTCAGCAATGACTTTCTTCTCTTGTTGCTCCATGCGGGTCTTTTCTCTGTCTAGTTCTCGTATCGTACGGTTGAGCGCTCTCTGGTTCTGCTTCAGCATCTGTTCCGGCGTCTTCTTCTTACCAAACAAGGCCTGCATGATGGTGGCTTATATTCGCTCTTTGGGTAGATGAAAAGAACCTGGGTTCTATTGTATTGTATCCTTCTGTTTGTCTGTTGTGTATGGTTTCCCAGAACCTGAAGAGGGGAAATGTAAATGAAACCAGACAATCAAAACATAACAAATATATTGTAGAATCAACTCTAGTCTCTAAAGTAAAAATCATTTGAGGGGTATGACATAATCCACAAATTTTTCAACGATAACCTTCGTAGTCTACAATCTCTAACAACAGTTAGGTGATAAATTATCTATCAATTAGGAATCATTAGGAATCATTTTGATCAGGAAGCATCATTTACATTTCCAAAATGTCAGATTTTCTAGGCAGCTTAAAGTTAAAGGGCAAGTCCACTCTAAAGAAAACTTACTTGCAATAAAAGCAGAAAAATCAGACAAACCAATCAAAACAAGTTTGAGCAAAATCGGATAACTAATAAGAGAGTTGTGAATTTTTAATGACATAAAAAACTTTGAAAATCACAAGACAAATTGGCAACTCACTCATTCGCTCAAAATTGCTGAATAGGGTATATATCATATGCAAGAGGTTGAGAGTGGCTCTTTTTCTTTGACTCATGCATATTCAACAATTTTGAACAAACAGCGCTCTTTATCATAAATATTCATATTTGCTGCGCCGCTATACCCAGAGCTACCAAGTGTAACGCATTCACGAAGCAAATATATCGTTTATCCATGTACAATGAGTTTACGAGCACCCATTGGGTGATCAATCTAGCAAAAAAAATCCCAAGTAACGCCCCCGGGCGCTGATCCAATCAGAAAATTGATGCGTAAATCAGGTTGACCTTAGTTTGACTTGGGCGGCTACTTTGCTCTTCCGTTCGGGGGCGTCCGATCGACTCCTCGGTTTTCCGAACGATTCCTCGGTTAGGTTTTTCGGGTTTCGGATAATACCGACAAGTTTAATGACCGTGGAAAGCGAGCCAAGTTATGCGCATTGCGGCATGATTTGAGTTCATGGAAAGTTCAACTGCGCGTGCCTCGCCAGCTCAAGGAATGCAGTCTAGTCATTGGTGTTATAATTAGCATTGGCGAAATGAAAATCATAATCTAATGGAGGAGATTAATTATGTGCAATATTAATTGTCATGATGATTGGCACAGCAGGTTCTTCCATTCATTCATATTTTGATGTTGCATGTACTTTTATCCTTCCTCTCACTCTCTCATCCCTTTTCTCTATCTGAACTTGCTACTTTTCAGATTTTCCTTTTCTTCTTCAGTTCTGGTCTTTCCTCTCTATTTCTATTTCACTCCCACCCCCTGTCTCTCTGTCTGTATCTCTCTCTCTCTCTCTCTCTCTCTTTGCTCTCTCTGCCTCTTCCTCTTTCTCCCTTCGTCTCTCCTTCATCCCCTCTGTTTCTCTCTCACACTTTCTGTCCCTCCCTCCTCCTCTCCACCTCTTTTCTCTTATGATGATGTTTTACAGTACAACATTCTATAATTATATGTTATTTTTATCATATTTTGTGGGTTGCACAGGAGCAGGGTCCACGTCCCGCAACCTGGGTGTCATGATTTCTTGAAGCCATGATAGCTGATGCTCCTACATGTATGTAAATACATACATGTATTAATACATTTAAATATCAATTTACCAATTAAAATGGAAAACAAGTTCATAAACATTAGACACGATTGTCGTAATGAGCTGTGCTGCTCATAATTAGGAAATGTATTAGTTGTACAAAGCAAAAGAGTGCGGACAGGCGCGGATCCAGGGCGAACGGACTTTGCCGCCCCCCCCCCCCCCCTCCCGCAAAAAGAGAGAGAGAGAGAGAGAAAGAAGGGAAAGAGGAGAGAAAGGGAAAGAAAGAAGAGGAAGAAGAAAAGAAAAAGGGGAAAGGAGATCGGGCGGCGAAAGGGCCTTGCCTCCCAGCTGTTACCTCCCCCTCCCCCCCCCCCCCCCCCCCCATCACAAAATAAGAGAGAAGGAAGGAAAGGGAAAGGAAAAAGAGGAGGGAAAGGAAAAAGAGGAGATAAAGGGAAAGAAAAAAGAGAAAGAAGATAGTTAAGGTGTAGATTGGGGGGGGGGCACTGTCGCACTGATGGGGGGGTTGGGCTTGGGGAAGGGGGTGACAGATGCCCCCAAAATATAATTTAAACGTGGTTTATTTCTAATTCGATACCGGTGATTTACAAATATTACTAAAATGACATGATTTTCCTAGATTTTTTTATGAGTGTTGGGAAATGGCAAATTCCTAAATAAGGAAAAAAGAATAGTGACCTGCCTTTGTCACAAAATAATGAGGAGTCAAAATGTGCTCATCTGACCGTAATTAAAAGCCTATATTCCCTGAGCTTCTGTGTGCTCCTCCCCTTGACCCCCGCCGGGGCTTCGACCCTAGACCCCACGCCAATTTACGTTACGTTGATCGTTTCTACCCCCCCCCCCCCCTCAAAAAAAAAAAAAAAAAAAAAACACCAACAACAACATCAACAATAACACGTTTTTGCTCATTTCGCCACTGCTGGGTCACCATTACGTACCAATATTTGGCTTGCATAATTTCAAATCCCCCCCCCCCCCCTAAGAAATTCTGGATCAGCGCCTGAGTGTGGAGGTACAATGTATATGTATGTATTGATTGATTGAGTTTTATTCGACAAGCTTCGAACATACAACATTATACAATAATAACAAATCAACAAGTCAGCTTGAACAGGATAACCCACGAGAGCTTATTTCCAGTGGGGACCCTTACAGACATGTATAAAATTAATAAGTAAAAATAGTCATATTTACAGACAGATAAGAAAAATAAAAGAATTACCTTTTAAAGATAATAATAATACAACATTAAACTGATGATAGAAATGATAATAAGTACAAGAAGAAAAGGAAGAAGGAGAAGAAGAAAACGAGGAGGAGGAAGAAGAAGAAAATAATGATGAATTAGTAGAATTTCTATAACGTACGAAAACATAAATATATACAAAATGAAAAAGTATGAACCGGCAGAAGAATACAAATTTCAATCACATGTCATTCACTTCTCCGACTGTCAAGTATTAGGTATTCCTTTAATTTCCTCTTAAAATGAGCATAGTTTTTTTTTTGAGCTTTGAAAATTGACATCCAACACAAGGCCCCCCCCCCCCCCCCCCGCTCTCTCTTTCTCTCTCCCTTCTCTCTTTCTCTCTAATTATTCATCTCAATGTCATACCCCCTTTCCATCACATCTCACTCTGATCTAATATGAAATTGGACTGAACAGGAAAAGAATGACCGCATCAAAGATGTATGCACTTACATAAGTTATACATTTAATGATACCCTCCGACATCTCTGAATAACATATTTGAATACATAGAGTAGAATAGAATAGAAATGGTTCTTATTAGAAAGATCATCGCAGCCAATGGCTGAATTGCGATCCATTTCACAAACATACAATTGCAATTTAAATTGAAATAACACAAAATATGACATAAATCAAAAATCAAACATAGACCCCCGATAGGCATTTAAAAAGTCATTGATCAAATTCAAATTTTTGTTAAATAAAAGACAGAGAAAGAGAGAGGTGTAGAGGAGGGAGAGTTGGAGTGATGATAAAGAGAGAGAAAGAGAGGAAGAGAGGAAGAGAGAAAAAGAGAGAGAGAGAGAAGGGGGGACGAAAGAGTGAGACGGAAAGAGAGAGAGATATATATATACATTATGAATATAATAAGCGATGACTGAAAGCATAACATTGATAATAATATGATACTACACATACAAAAAAGAAATATTAAAAAAATAATTACCAAAAAAAAAAGCTGCCCCCAACCCCACTAATTTTTTTTTACCCCCCCCCCCCCCCCCAAAAAAAAAATGCAACATTGTTACTGAAAATAATTTGGGAAACTCAATTATTAAATACTGTCAAACGATCAAAATCCTCTCAAGATTTAACCATTTTTATCAAATTTGTCAGTTTTGTTAGCAAGTATACTAACCTGCCTCTCATTTATGAAACTATTACTGATATGTTATTTTATTGTCATATTACAACTTTCCATTTCGGACTTGTATTTGCATTTAATTATTTGACAGAGTGCTTTAATTATTTGACAGAGTGCTTTAATTATTTGACAAAGTGCTTATTATTTGACAAAGAAATTAATGTAGGAATGGAGACCACCAAATCTCGGTTGAGCACCCTTCGGAGCTTAGTTAGTTCCTGGTGTGTTTTTTACAAAACGCCGAAATCATATTGCCGTTTCCCCCAGGCCAGGCAATTTCCCCCAGGCCAGGCAGTTTCCCCCAGGCCAGGCCGCGCAAACGCGTAACCATGGAAATACTACGAACGCTGACCACAACCAGTTCAAAGTACAACATATACGCAGTCACAATCAGACGTAAACACGGCGAACGATTTCATACGACACTCAGCTGTATGGTTCGGAATTATTACCGAACAAAGGAAGCAAACTTCGGCTCTGACGCCCTAGCTGTCAATCATACAAAAATGGATACCAAAAACACTGAAATTTCAGGCTTTAAACAGGTGACGCACTTTACACATAGGTGACGCACACATGGCGTTCCATACACATGCAAACGAAACGTGAACGGACATTTCAGGAAAAGAATCAAGTTTGTACCTTAAATATGACTTTTTTGATAATTTTTCTTAGTTAAGTAAGACTTATACTTAAGTGAAATACTTAAGTGAAATACTTAAGTGAAAAAATCATTAAAAATAGAGGGTTTGACTGAAATATCACAATTTTGGTATTGAAAAAAACGGAAAATAGTATGCTCTCTCGTCGCACTCAAATTTGTAACGTTAAGCGAATGGCGGGTCTTTTACATCCAATCAGAAGGAACAAGAACGTTGATTCGTGGGCGGGGCGCGGGCGGGTAATTCAAATGAGGCGGAGACCGATTAAACGTAACTGCGCAAGCGCTAAATGTAAGGAATATTGCTTCGTGGCATTAGGCATGACATCACGCATTTTGAGGGTCTGAAAACGGTCTCACGCACGACGCGCACGCTAGATTTTTAAAAAACACTAGATTCCTTAGGCTTATACGTGTTATACCCTCGCACGCACA